TTTCTATACTTTTCCTCTTTGGTATATAAGATTATTGGGAGCTAGGTCGGGTGCCACATACTCTAGGAAGTAATTTAGAGCTTTTTACCCTTTGCTTTCTATGTGAGACACAGATCATCCTTGTTCACCTCTCTGGATGATGCAGTTGCCACCCTATAAGCAGAGAAAGAGATCAGCCCCCACTACATATCACTACTGGTACCTCGATCTTCCTGCCTTCAAAACAGTGAGAAATAGAACCGGGTACCAATGGCTCAGGCCTGTAATTCCTTTTTTTTTTTTTGGCAGTGGTGGGGCCTGCATTCTGGGCCTGGGTGCTATTCCTGAGCTCTTCAGCTCAAGGTCTGCACTCTACCACTTGAGCCACAGCACCACTTCTGGCTTTTTATAAGCTTAAGTGGTGCTGAGGAATCAAACCCAGGGCCTCATGCATGCAAGGCAAGCACTCTACTACTAAGCTACCTTCCCAGCACTCAGGGCTGTAATTCTAACTACTTAGGAGGGTGAGATAGGAGGATCAAGGTCCAATGCCAGCCAGGGTAGAAACATCCACAAGATCCCATCACCAAATAACCAGGAAAATGCCAGACTGGAGGTACAGATGAAAAAGTAGATCTCTTTCTCTCTGGAAAAAAAAAAAAGCTGAGCAAGAACACAAGCCCTGACTTCAAGCCCTTGTATCAGTACAAGATAGATAGATAGATAGAGATAGAAAGAAAGAAAGAGAGAGAGAGAAAGAAAGAGAAAGAAAGGAAGAAACCAGCTTTACAATGTCGGTGGGGGGGGGGTATGATTGGTTGGGAGGGAGGGGGGAGGCTGGGAAGGGAGGTGAAGGGTAAACAAAGGAGGAGGCTGCAATGCTTGGTAAGAAATGTATGCATTATCCTGCCCATGTAATTGTAACCCCTCTGTACAGTATGTTCTCAAATAAAATAAAATAAAATTAAAAAAAAAAAAAATAACAGCAGCACAAATGGACTAAGACCTAAGACAGCCTACTTTTAGGTCAGGAGCTCACTGTTACAAGGTAATAAAGTCGGAATTTCTACTTCTTAGGAAGTATATTATAAAGCAGTTTACCAATTGTTTCCCTCAACTTTTCAGAACACTTATTCTTACCTGGTCAGTTGGAAGTCTTGACAAGTAATCATACTATTAAACCTCAGAAACAGTACTAGGTCCTACAAATATCTGCTTTAAAAAATCATAGAAATATTCTCCAAAGAGAAGCTAAATAATATAAATGAGATATATCCAGTGATAACCTCAAGAGCTGGTATAGGAAGGAGTTAGGATGTGGCTCAGTGGTAGAACTTTGCCTATTAAATGCAAAGTTCAAACCTAGTACCACTCCTCATGTCCCTCCCAAGAAACAACCAGCAGCAGCTACTTTTGGGGATAGAAGTTGTAGAATTTGTGCTTAGCATGTATGACATCCACAATCCAATTTCTAAGACCCAAACATGAAATTTTAAAAAGCTTTGCTGTATATAGTTTCACAACTGCCATTAGATAAATTATTTTCACTAATAAACATAATATATAAACAAGTTCTCTTCTCCACAGAATGACCTGAAGGTAACATACTCTTTTTTTTTGGGGGGGGAGGGGGAGTCCGGTCGTGGGCCTGAACTCTGGGCCTGGGTGCTGTCCCTCAGCTCTTCAGTTCAAGGCTAGCACTCTACCACTTGAGCCACAGCGCCACTTCCAGCTTTTTTCTTTTTGCTTATGTGGTGCTGAGGAATCAAACCCAGGACCTCCGGCATGCAAAGCAAGAGCTCTACCACTGAGCCACCTTCCCAGCCCACATACTCTTTCCAACATCTTCTGACACAATTAATGAACCCTCTCTTATGTTTACATAAAAGTACTACAAAAATGACAAACCACTATACAGTGTTAATGAGCCTAATTCTGGCTAAACTTCAAAAATCCCTCAACGGCAAATACAGTACAGTACCTACACTTATTCATCCTCTCCACTTACTAGGTAAAACTTTAGTGAATATTTAAGTGAATTTATTTTTACTTTGTATATTTACAATGACTTGAGATAACTTTCTAGACTATTTGTATGAAACACAATTATAATCAAAGGAATTATGCTAAAAATGAATTTATATAAACAGAAATAATCTTCAATATAGTATGAATCTAGAAAGTGCTTAAGTAAACCACTATATTAGCTATGCTGTGATGACTAAATTCTGAAAGTAGAAGAAATGTTAACTTTGAATTAAGAAACAAATTCAATAATAGATGTCTGGGAAATAGCACTGTGGCTCAAGTGGTAGAATGCTAGCCTTGAGCAAAAGAAGCTCAGGGACGTCACCCAGGCCCAGAGTTCAAGCCCCAGGACCAGTAAAATAATAGTAATAATAATAATAGTAAACAAAAAACCCAAAACAAATTATTTTCAAGAAAATGTGGTATAGGTACACAATGGAATTAAATGCTTCCATTAGAAAGAATGACATTGCCTCATTTGTAAAGAAATGGAAAGACTTGTAAAAAAAATTATATTAAGTAAAGTGAGCCAGACCCAAAGAAATATAGGCTGGGTGGTTCCCCTCATTTGTAATAACTAGAATATGTCTATAAATCTACAAGTTAATCCAATTGATAGTAAAAGACAAATAATTATACTTGGACATGTCTAATTAAACAGCACTCTAAGCACAGCACAGTGAGAACAAAAGAGGGGATCACAATGGCTCTAGGGCTATATGCCTATGACCACACAAACTGATGTTTATTGAAATGAACTCCAAGAAATGAAAACAAGAGGGTTTTTTTAATTGCACTGTTTAGTCATTTCTTTTTCTTTCTTTCCTTTGGTTTATTCCCTGTTGTCACTTTGATTTATATATTCTTTGTCTTGTATGTAAGTTCATCTGATCTGGGGAGGAGAATCACAGAAATGGTGGAACAAAGGGTGAACCAATTCAACAGTGATACTAAGTAGACACTATGTTGGAAATGAACTTTACAACTAGGGGGGAAGGTGGGCTTGGGGTGGGGAAGTATGAGAAAATGAGGGAGGGGATAAGACTGTTCTAAAGATATGTACTCATTATCTTACTTATGTAACTATAACCCTTCTGTACATCACCTTTAAATTTAAATTAAAAATTTAAATTAAAAATAATAGATGGCTGAATTATTATACTTTAATCCTTTCTAATGAATAGGCATAGACTATACCACAACAGAAGTACCTGGTATTCTTTGAATAATTAATAGTATATACAATAATGATAGTCAATATTATTATTTAATATATACCAACCACTGTTGTAGAACTTTATATATATTAACTCATTTCTCATCAAAACCTAATTGTAATTCTAATTTTGCAATGGAGGAATTAAAAATGAGGGTCAATTCCCAGTGATTCTTAGGTGACCCTGCCACTATTTCAAACACAGTATATGCAGTCTTCCACTTACAGATTCTCTTGGAGTTTACATTTCAAAACTATGGACATCCTCTAACCTCATCTAAAATGGCTACATCCTTATTCTTCACTTAAGAATGTTTATATGCAATAGCTCATAAGATTACCTAAAAGCTAACTTCAAAATTTACTAAATCATTAATACTGTTTAAATGTTTTACACAGGATCATTGGTATGCTAAATAAGTTATCAGATCCAATAATTTGTTTTACATTTCTTTTCTTTTTGCCAAAGCCAGTGTAGGTTACTCAATTTGATACTAGGTGAAAATCAGAATGGCATGGGATTAAGCATAATATAGCACATGGATCAAAGAAGTTAACATCTTTTTTCTCCATATATTATGACCTAGAAATACTTGAGACACTAAAAGTTTACAGAAACAGAACACAGAAAGGGGGCTGGTAAGGTGGCTCAGTGGTAGAACGCTTCCCTTGCACGCATGAGGCCCTGGGTTCGACTCCTTAGCACCATATAAGCAAAAAGAAAAAAGCCAGAGGTGGTGCTGTGGCTCAAGTGGTAGAGCACTAGCCTTGAGCTGAAGAGCTGAGGGACAGTACCCAGGCCCAGAGTTCAGGTCCCACGACTGGACCCCCCCCAAAAAAAATAAAAGAACACGGAAAGATTGTCCATAATGTAACTAATACTCTATTCCAGTACATTCTGAGCCTGGAATCCAAAGTCTGATTTCAGTTTTTTTTGTTGTTGTTGTTGAGTATGCCCTGATCTGATTCTCTGATTATTCTTTTCATTATTATCATGACATTGTGAGCTCTAAGAACTTCTGTGATCAGGAGTGGAATGAAGAATATACACAATCCTAAAGTGGCAAAACTTATGAGAAAAATGCAGCACTGGATCCATATCAATCTCCAAACAATAATAAATATTATACAAAAAAATAAGAAAATAAAATTGCTTAAAAAACAGATTTAAAGACTACAAAGTTCTCTAAATACTTTTCATCGCAATCTAAATGTACTCTACATATAAATTTTTCAAAGCTCACTAGTGGATAATAGCACCATAAAGAAATAAATTACGAAAATATGGAGACACATTAAAACTGCTCAGCCTGGAAAACAAGCAAGAATATTTGATTTTTTTTATCAAATAAAAGGATAATTTAAATGTACAAGTTAAAAACTTATCTGATGTCAATTTATTCTTTTCAATCTAGGATAGTTTCAGATTAATTCTGTAAGAATGATTACCAACACTAACTATACTAATTTATGCTAGTCTTTCTTCATTTATCCTCCCTTATAGTAAAATAAAAACAGATTCCTCTTCAATAAAATAAGGACTGAACTAGGTATGGTAATGCATGTCTATAATCCCAGAATTTGGAAGGCTGTGGAGAGGAGGATCATAAGCATGGGTTATATAGCGAGACAAAAAAAAAAAAAAGAGGACTGATATTGAAATCATTTTGACCACAATAAAATAAGTATAGCACCAAAACTATGCCTTGTACAAGAAGAGCAATCCTCATTTTTCATAACACTGAAGAGGTTGAAGTAAACCAAAAAGCAGTCTTACCTTTAGTGTGACATCACAGAGTTCTCCATTTTCATAAAATCGAAGAAGAGAACTATGAAAATCTTTCCAAGCTTCATTTGCTTCAAAGACAAAGGAGTCTTCACCACCACAATCACTAACTGAAGACCTGTTCTTTATTTGCTGGTGTTGCTGCCTTTTCCCCTTTGGGCAGTGATTCCTAGATTGTTTCCCATTCATAGATTCTGAAGCCATTTGCAAGACTATTCTTTTAATATAGGTCTTTCCTCAAGAATCCCATTTATTCTTTTAGAAACAGTTGCGAAGACAGAAGGCAGATGTAGCCACTAAACTTTATTTTTTAAAATTCCCTCAATTGCCATTGTATAGTTTGCTGAAATTAAAAAATAACAAAACACATAAAGACAAACCCAAAGGGAGAAAAATCATTAGTAACTATAACTAATACAATTTATGCATAATCAATCATTACTTGGGGAAAATCTTTATAATTTTTAATGCTAAACATCACTTCATTATTATTTATAAAAACAATTCCTTTCAAATGTAATATGAAAAATCCAAAAGCACATAACTTTTGAAATGCAGACTGTACTGTCTTCAAAAACAGAGTATGGCGGGGAGCTGGTGGCTCACATCTGTAATCCTAACTATTCAGGAAGCTGAGATCTGAGGTCACAGTTCAAAGCCAGCCGGGGCAGGAACGTCCATGAGACTCTTATCTCCAATAAACCACCAGAAAACCTGAAGTGGTGCTGAGGCTTAAGTGATAGAGCACTAGCCTTGAACTGAAGAGCTCAGGACTCAAGCCCAGAGCTCAAACCCAACGACTGATAAACAAAAACAAAAACAAGAGTATGAACCGAAGTTCAGGAACTTTATTCAGTGATACAAGGGAAAAGCCAAAGGTTACTCTGAATGAATTAAGAGTTATGCTAGATTCTGAAGTTATTATGGTTCTACCACTTAACAAACTATGTAACTCTAAGCCAACAATGGCCAGCTTATACCTCACTTATCCAATGCAAACAGGAGGGTTTTTTTCTTCTTTGTTTGTTCAAGTATCTGTCTTTGGAAGGGTAAGGGGGGCACAGGAATGGAGGGACAAAGAGTGAACAAATGCAGCAATAGACACTATGTTGAAATTAGACACTATGCTGTAGGTCAGAACAGAGGGAAATAGTGAGAGAGCAAAGGAAGGAAGGGGTGCCATTGTCCAAAAAGAGATGTACTCACTACATGACTTATGAAAATGTATGCCCTCGGTACATCACCATTATAATAATAATCTTAAAACATTTAATAAAAATCAAAAAAACTCACGTATTTCTTCTTGGAGATAAAGATAACCCTTACAGAAGTATTTCAAGCATTAAAAATATTGTACAGCTAGGTATAGGAACTGCTGCATATAACACAAGGACCTGATTTTGTGTTTTCACATAGAACTTAGTATTATTTACATGTAAAATCATCATAATTTCATTATCAATCATATTTAATAAATATCTGCATTATCTATATGGCATGCTACAATTCTAGTTTGGAGACAAAAGTAAAGATTTTAAGTAAAACTGCCTATTTCATCACTTACAAGTTGTATTATCTTCTTTTGAAGACTTACTAACACCTAGTTTCTTCATCTATCTACAAACAAGGATACTTATCCAATCATAGAATTATCCTCACAAAATGTGTGAAATAATGTATTTGAAAGCACCTATAAAACTATATATTGCAAACAGAAACAAAACCAACAACTATAAACCACACTACAAATACTAGCATTATGAATGGAAAGCTTTGAATGTGACACAATCTTAAAAATTATAAATACTGAAGGGGAAATGAAAAATACTATAACCAGAACTTCAGCTGTATTTGTGTCCTTTATTGTTAATCTCTTTACCTAACACAGACATAAAATTATATTTAAGAATTTTTATTTTATAAATGCAAACTGAATTGGATAACACATTGAAAAGATCATATACTATGATCAGGGATGCAAGGATGATTCAACAAATGTAATAAATTAAAAGGCATAATATAGCATATAAACAGGATCAAGAACAAAAATAACATTATCATATTAATAGATGTAGGAAAATCCTTTGACAAAAGTCCAGTATCTTTTTTTTTTTAAAATAGTCCTGGGGCTTGAACTCAGGGCCTGGGTGCTGTCCCTAAGTTTCTTTGTGCTCAAGGCTAGCGCTCTATCACTTTGAGCCACAGTGACACTTCTGACTTTTTCTCTGTTTAAGTGGGAGATAAGCGTGTCATGGACTTTCTTGCTCAGCTTGGCTTAGAACCACAATCCTCAGATTTTAGCCTCCTGAGTAGCTTACAAACTTGAGCCAGTAGTGCCCAGCCAAGCATCTTTTTTTTTTTTTTTATGATAAAAGCTCTGAAGAAACTAGTAGCAGAGGAAATGTACCTCAATATAATAAAGGCCACATATGACAAACCTATAGCCAACATCGTAGGGAAAACTGGAAATCATTTCCAGGAACAAGATACTAGTGTCCCTATACTTATTACTCACATTTGCAGATGATATGATACTCTTGTGGCTCTAGCACAAAAACAGACATGAAGACCAAAGGCAAAGGAACTGCGCCACTTCTGGTTTTCTGGTGGTTTATTGGAGATAAAGAGTCTCATGGACTTTCCTGTCCAAGCTGGCTTTGAACCATGATCCTCAGATCTCAGTCTCCTGAGTAGCTAGGATTACAGGCATGAGCCATCAGCACCTGGCAAAGGTATTTTTTTTTTTTTTTTGAGAAAAGACAGCCTCTTCAACAAATGAAGCTGAGAAAACAAGACTCTCTGCATATAGAAGACTAAGACTAGATCCTTACCTTTTACCCTGTGTAAAAATCAACTCCAAGTGGATCAAGAATCAATGTAAGACCTGAACCTTAAAATTCCTACAGGAAAACTTAAGAAAAACTTTGGAAGATACAAGCATAGATAACTATTTTCTGACTACCTCTGCATATAACAGCAAGAATGGATAAATGGAGTTGCCTCAAATTTAAAACTTTACACATATGCTGGGTGCCATGGGCTCACATCTATAATCCTAGCTACTCAGGAGGCTGAAATCTGAGTTTTGAAGCCAGTCCAAACAGAAAAGTCCATGAGACTTTATTTCCAAATTAGCCAAAAGAAAAGGAGCTGTGGCCAGGCGCTGGTGGCTCACACCTGTAATCCTAGCTACTCAGGAGGCTGAGATCAAAGGACCGAAATTCCAAGCTAGTCCAGGCAGGATAGTCCACGAGACTCGTATCTCCAATAAACCACCAGAAAACCAGAAGTGGCGCTGTGGCTCAAGTTGTGGAGTATTCGCCTTGAGCTGAAGAGTTGAATTACAGCGCCCAGACCCAGAGTTCAAGCCCTACAATCAACAACAACAAAAAAGGAGCTGTGGCTCAAATGACAAAATACTAAACTGGAATAAAAATGGGTTAGTGCCCAGGCCCTGAGTTCAAGCCTAGAACCAGCGCAAACACAAAAACAGTTTCTACACATCAAAATAAACGATTACAAGAATCAAGTTACTATTTACAGAATGGGAGAAGATCTTCTCTAGCTATGCAATAGATAAAGGATTAATATCCAAAGTATAAGAACTCAAAAATTTAAACAACAAAAAAGAATACAATTAATAAACTGGTAAACAAATTAAAGACATTTCTCAGTACAAATGGCTAATACTTAACATTCTGAGTCATGAAGGAAATTCAAGTCAAAACTACACTAAGAGACTGGAAGTGTGGTTTCAGTGTTTAGAATAGCAGCTCTGAGTGAAAAAGCCTTGCGAGAGTTTAAATTTCAGCACAGATGCAAAAACAAAAACAAAAAATCTGTACTAGGATTCTATCTCATCCCAATCAGAATGGCCATCATTAAGAAAACAAACAAAAACAAATGCTGGCAAGGATGTGGAGATGAAAAAGGAACCCTTATACATTATTGGCAGGAATGTAAACTAGTGCTACTATAGAAATCAGTATATAGTATCAAATAGCTAAAAATAACATACCTTATCACCATGCTTTATCGACCTTAGGAATATATCTCAGGGAGTATAAATAAAAAAAAAAAAACCAGGACAGGGAGACTGCAGTACTATTCACAATAACGAAGTTGTGGATCAACCTAGATGCCCAGCAAAACTGATGAATAAAAATATGTGGTGCATATATACACAATGGAGTATTGTTCATCCATAAAGAAAAGTGAAATTATATTTGAAAGCAAATGGATATAAATGTAATCATCACCTGATGTGGAAGAAATAATTTGTATTGTCAAAGCTCATAGAATTCACAAACTTTATAGACCATGATAATGACAATTTGCCTTGTGAAGGTTAAAATGTGTTTGTGACTTTAAGTATCACTATTCCACAATACTGTGAAATATGTGAAATTTATGTAATCAACTAGTCTCAATTTTTTTTTTTTGGGGGGGGGGGTCCAGTTGTGGGCCTGAACTCTGGGCCTGGGCGCTGTCCCTCAGCTCTTCAGCTCAAGGCTAGCGGTCTACCACTTGAGCACAGCACCACTTCCGGATTTTTTTTTTCTTCTGCTTATGTGGTGCTGAGGAATCGAACCCAGGACCTCATGCATGCAAGGCAAGTGCTCTACCACTGAGCCACCTTCCCAGCCCACCTAGTCTCAATTTTTTTTTTAAAAAAAGTGAGAGACGGGATGGGTTAGAGCAATAGGTGACAATGTTGTCAGATACTCATATAGTTTTGTAGAATGGAAACTTCTTTGTACAACTACTTAAAGATACAATAATAAAAAATGTAAAAAAAAAAAGCAAATAGATAAAACTGAAGATCATCATGTCAACTGAATTAAGCTAACTCAAAAGGTCAAATATCATGTGTTTGCAAATATTGAGAGTCTAGATATAAAATAATGATGATGGTGAAGGTGATACTAATAATAACCTGAGTGTAAAAGGGAGACTAATTTGGGGGGAAGGGAATGAACAGTAAAAGAAAGGTTACTAGTGAGTGAAGAAGATAGAAGTTCCTTCTCTCTATATATGTATATATATGAACACATATAGATATGCACATGTGTATGTGTATACACACATATATACCATGAACAATGAAGTACACCAAATTCTGTCTGGATAAAGGAGAAGGGAAAAGGGAGGTTAACGGAATATATAAAAAGAGGAACATAACAGAAGAGGTGAACATGTTGAAAATGCACTGTATACATCTAGGAATTATCACAATGAAACCCTTTGTACTATGAATGTATAATGAAAAAAACCTGTTGGGCATAATTTAGTTCCTGGGCTATAGTTTACCGATACCTGTGAAAAAAATTTAAATATAAATGGATAAACACCCCAAATTAGAGACAGAGACTCACTAATACTATTCAGCAATATAACAACAAAAGAACAAATTAATGAAACATCTAATAATTTGAACAGAACTCAAAGTATGTTGAAAAATGAAAATTGTAACATGAGATTACACATAAGTAATCCTCTTATCATAGTCCATTTTCCATGGTTTCAATTGCCCACAATATACCTTTGCCCAAAAATATCAGTTGAAAAATTGAGAAATAAACAAGTCATATGTTTAAACTCTATGCCATCCTAAATTTAAAAAGTCATGTTTAAATTCTGTGCCTTCCTAAGTAACATGATAAAACTTTGTGCAATCCTGCTACATCCAACCCAGGCTGTGAATCATACCCTTGTTTCAGTTTTACTACTCTGTAGATGTAACCCATCTGTTAGGCACTTATTAGTATCTGTCTTGGATATTAGACTATTGAGATACTGCAGTGTTCATATTCCAGGTAACCCTACATAGTGGTCTAATGCTATGTCACAATACCTACATCAGTCACCTCATTTATTGTCTCACATCATCATTAGAGTATGGTACAATAACATTTTGTGAGAAAGGATGAGATCACATACTTTATAATAGTATAATTATACTATGATTATTATTTTTTACTGTGTCTAATTTTTAAATTATATTCCATCGTAAGTATATATATTATACAATATACAACATATACAGAATATATACAATATATACAGAATTTGATATAAACTAATTTTCAGGTGTCCACTGAGCATCCTGAAATGTATCTACTATGGCTAAAAAAAACTTATAGAGATGGAAAACAGGTTACTAGTTTTCTGAGATCAGCGAAGGATGAAGAGAAGTGTGGTTGTAGTCATAAATGGGCAGTACAAGTGATTATCTGTGATGGGATGCTACTGTATCACTACTGTAGTAGTCACATAAATCTTCATATCATACATAAGTACACAAATAAGTGAACAAAAATTAGGTAAAATGGGCTAGGTGCCACTGATTCATGCCTGTAATCCTAGCTACTGAGGAGGCTGAGATCTGAAGATCATGGTTCAAAGCCAGCATAGATAGGAGAGTCTGTTAGACTCTTATTTCCAATAAACCACCAAAAAGCTAGAAGCAAAACTGTGGCTCATATAGGAGAGCACTGGCTCTGAGCAAAAGAGCTCAGGGACAGCACTGAGGACTTGAGTGCAAGCCCCAGGACTACCACAAAAAACCAAAACAACAAAAAACTCAAGTGAAATATGAGTAAGATAGACATAATAACCAGTATAAATTTCCTATGTAAGATGTTATCACTGTGGGGAACTGACTATTTACTACTGCAATTACAATTACCTTAAATTTTTTTTTTTTTTTTGGGGGGGGGGTCCGGTCGTGAGGCCTGAACTCTGGGCCTGGGTATTGTCCCTCAGCTCTTCAGCTCAAGGCTAGTGCTCTACCACTGAGTCACAGCACCACTTCCGGCTTTTTGCTTTTTGCTTATGTGGTGCTGAGGAATTGAACCCAGGGCCTCTGGCTTGCAATGCAAGCACTCTACCACTGAGCCACCTTCCCAGCCCCAATTACCTTAAATTTTTTTAAATAAAAATAAATTGGAAGGAAAAAAAAATGCACCAAATCTTAGCTACAAGCTATATACAAGATTACCTTCTCACCACCACCTTTTCCTGGGTAGTACTGAAGACTGGGTGCAGAGCCTTGTACTTGGTAAACAGGAAGTCACATTCTCTGTTTTGTTTTTTGTTTTCTTGTTTGTGTTTTTTTTTTTTTTTGAGATAGGGTCCACTCTGCTTAAGCCAGCATGTACCACAATCTCCTTAGTTACACTTCTTGCCACAGCTAGTATGTCAGACATACCAATATACATACCAACACATCAGCTTTTTCTATTGAGATTAGGATCCCATAAACTTCTTGCCGAGGTTGGCCTTATACTGCAGTCCTCCCAATCTGAGCCTCCAAAGAAGCTAGATTTACAGGTGTGAGCCACTGTATCTGAAAAGAAAAAAAAGGGACAGTGGATGAGTGGACCAAGAAAGTATAGTACAAATACAACGGAATTTTACTCATCTATTAGAATGAATAATATTGTTATTTGCAGGGAAATGGATGGACCTAGAACAAATCATGTTAAGTAAAGCAAGCCAGGCTCAGACATCAGATGCTTTCCCTCATACGTGGAAACTTGATCTAAAATACATTTAGGCATGACAGCATATTCAGGGTTCAATGCATTTATACACAAATAGACTAAAGGAGGAAGAACAAATCTAACAGTGTAACTCCTCTGAACAACTAGTATACTATTTATCAAAATGAATACCAGAAAGTAGAAACACAATGGGGAGAGGATAAAGGGGAGCACAGGAATGGAGGGAAAAAGGGTGGGCAAATGTCATTATATTCAATGTATATTATATGAAAAATGAACTATACAACTTGAGGGTAGGGATGAGGGGGAAAATGAGGAAGAATAAAGGAAGGAAGGTGATATGGACCAAGAGCATTGTAGTCCTCATAATCTGACATGGAATTGTAACCTCTGCCCAACTACTTAAGAAAAAATAAATTCTTATGTTGGGTGTTGGTGGCTCATGCCTATAATCCTAGCTACTAAAGGAGGCTGAGATCTGAGGATCATGGTTTGAAGCCAGCCAGTCTTCATGAGACTCTTATTTCCAATTAACTACTCAAAAACTGGAAGTGGCACTGTGGAGCAAAGTAGTAGACACTACCCTTTGAGCAAAAGAACTCAGGGACAGCACCCAGTCCCTTAGTTCAAGCCCCACAACCACCAACAACAATAATGAATCCTTTTAACTGCAGTAACAAAAAAGTAAAGAAAGGCTAAACAGAAGAGACAAAATAATGTTAACAGTAATTTTTAAGTGATTATCAAACAACAAAGACTTTAGGGTAAATAAAGTGATGAATTACTATATAAATCTGGATATTGGCTGGGCATGGTGGTACATGGCTATAATCTCAGCCCCCCAGAGGTGGAGGCAGCAGGATCAGAAGTTCAAGACTACTTGGTCTCCATAGCTAGATGCTGATTCACAAAGCCAAAAAAAAAAAAAAAAAATCAGAACATTACCAAGAGAAAAACACACATGAAAAAAACTTCATGACAATGAATTTGGCAATGGTTTCTTATTTATGACACCAAAATTTCAAGCAAAAGTATACACTGGGACCTCAAACTTTCAAACTTCAATAGAGCAAAAGAAACAACAAAGTAAAAATGCAAATGAACTGGATATCAGTGGCTCATGCCTGTAATCCTAGCTACTCAGGAGGCTGAGATCTGAGGATAGCAATTTTAAGCAAGCCTAGGCAGGAAAGTCCAATTAACCACCAGAAAACCAGAATGGCACTATGGCTCAAAGTGATAGAGTGCACTAGACTTGAACAAAAAGAGCTCAGGGATAGTGCTCAAGCCCTGAGTTCAAGCTCTACTACTGATCCTCCCAAAAAGGCAGATGAAAACATGGGAGAAAATAGTATTTGCAAACCATGTGTGATGAGTTAATATTGAGACATATAAATGATTTCTAGAACTCAGGACTGGAGGTTTAGCTAGAGAATATTTCAACAGAGAGGATATGTTGTTCAGTGGTGTATAATCCCCAGCACCACCCAAGTAAAATTTCCTACAATAACATAATAACAGTAATAGTCACATGATTCTCTAAAGATGATATGCAAATGATCAACAAGTATAGGAAACAACGCTCTATATGACTAATCATGAGGGAAAAATAAAGACCAAAACATCCAATGGATAGATGAAAGGGAAGGAGGAAAAGAAGCAAGCACATATGAGCAAGCATGTACAAAGGTATGAAATAATCCCACTGTTTATGGGAATGTAAAATAATTTCTCTCAAGAAGTAGAGCCCTGCTTAGCAAGTACAAGGCAGAGTTCAAACTGCAGAACCACTAAAAGAGAGGGAAGTAACACTAAAAGTGGTAATGGGGTTTGAATTAAGGTCATTAGCTCTCACTGGGCTTTTTTCACTCAGAATTAGTACTCTACCACTTGTGCACACCTCTACTTCTAGATTTTTGTGGTTAACTGAAAATAAAGAGTTTCGTGGGTTTGTCTGCCCAGGTAGGTTTCAAACCTCAATTCTCAGATTTCAGCCTCCCCGGGAACTAGGATTATACTAGTGCCCAGCCTCTCTATTGATTTGTAACATAAAGTAAGAGGAAGGGAAAAGGAGATGGAAAGACTACTTATTAAACTGCTATGTAGTATACTCTGCCAGAAGTCTACATATGCTCTTTCATTTAGCCATAGCATTACAGATGGCCTGAACATCCTTGACTTGCCCAAGGTCATACAGCAAGAAAGGGTAGGAACTAGAGTTTCAATCCAGCTGAATAAGCCCATTCTTTTTCTACTGTAGCACAGACTTCATTATTCAGTTTTTATCAAATAAATGTGCACTCTTTGTGAGTGAATGTCAAGACTCAGCTTAAATAATACTTCTTTTATGAAGCCTTCCCCAGTTCTCCCAATGACATTATGGTCTTTCATTTCTGTGAATCTCTATACATCCAATTCTTTTGTATTTTAGACTATGAACTCTTTCAGAAGGATATGGTAGTAGGGCTTTTTGTTTTTGTGGGAAAAACAAGGAAGGGGGAATACTCAAGAATAAATATACATGTACTCTTAAGATATGTACTGGCTGGGTGCCAGTGGCTCATGCCTGTAATCCTAGCTAGTCAAGAGGCTGAGAGCTGAGGATCAAGGTTCAAAGCCAGCCCGGGCAGGAAGTCTGTGAAACTATTATCTTCAATAAACCACCAGAAACCAGAAGTGGTACTGTGGCTCAAGTTGTAGAGCACTAGCCTTGAGCTGAAGAGCTGAGGGGCAGCACTCAGGCACAGTTCAAACCCCACAACTACCACTACCAATACAAAGATCTATACTAAGATACACACCCAGCTAAGGAGTACACTTACTATACTTTAACAATATGTATGCATTTGCCTACAATTAACCTGGGCCATGAGTGGTTGGATAAACATTCAGGTCCTGGTGCTTGAACTCAGAGCCTGGGCACTATTCCTTAACTTTTTTGCTTAAGGCTACCACCATACTACTTGAACCATAGCTGTACTTCATGCTCTTTTCGTGGTTAATTGGACATAAGAGTCTCATGGACTTTCCTGCAAGGGCTGGCTTTGAGCTGTGATTCTCAGCTCTCAGTCACCTGAGTAGCTAGGACTACCAGAGTGAGCCAAGGGCAACAGGCAAATAAATACCATTATTTGTTGTTCCCTGATTTTATATAAAAACAGGGTCAAATCTTCATTGTTGATTAGAAAGGTGAGTACAGTTACTACATTTGTCATATTACAACTAAATATCTGAAAATTATCAAGAATCACTATCTCAAGCCAAGTGCTGGTGGCTCACACCTGTAATCCTAGCTACTCAGGAGGCTAAGATCTAAGGATCACAGTTCACAGCCAGCCTAGGCAAAAAAGTCTCACATGTGAGACTTTTATCTCCAAAAACTACTCAAAAAAAAAACCACGAAAAGTGGTGCTCTGGTTCAAGTGGTAGAGCACTAGCCTTGAGCTGAAGAGTTGAGGGACAGCACCCAAGCCCAGAACTCCTATCCAGTAGCCAGGGCCCAGAGCTCAAGGCTCAGGACAAGCAAAAAAGAAAAGAATCACTATCTTGGGCAGGGAAGGTGGCTCAGTGGTAGAGTGCTTGCCTTGCATGCATGAGGCCCTTGGTTCAATTCCTTAGCACCACTTAAACAGAAAAAGCTGGAAGTGGCACTATGGCTCAAGTGGTAAAGCGCTAGCCTTGAGCTGAAGAGTTGAGGGTCAGCGCCCAAGCCCAGAGTTCAGGCCCAGAGTTCAGGCCCATGACCAAAACACACACACACACACACATACATACACACACACATACACACACACACACACACACACACTATCTCATCTTTAAACGTTAATTTAACTGCATAAGGTTCAAAGCAATTATATTTTTCCTCATATCAAATGACTCCAGCTCTTGTCCAGACTTTGTTAATTACTATTCTTCCAAAATTATTATTTGTCAGAATGCTGACTATAAGAAAAAGACACTATGTTTGTTCTTAGCCAAAAGAACAGCATACTGATCCTATATTATTGGTCCATTCCTATGATTCCTTGAAATTTACTATATAGCCTACTTTGGCCTAGAAATCACAGTCCTGTTTCTGCAACCACAGTGCTGGCATTTCAGGGATGCACCACCATACCTGGTTTTTAAATTATTCATTTGTATAAAATTATTTTTATATTTGAAGTTAGATTTGTACAAGAAGCAACAACTCCAAAAATATCTAAATCAGACTGGGGGCGGGGAGTTACTAATGGAAGAAAAGCATGTAAATAGAAGAGGATGGGAGGGTGAATATTACTGAAGTACTTTATAAACATGCATGAAAATAAAACAGTGAAGCTGGGCACTGGTGGCTCACGCCCATAATCCTAGCTATTGAATCTAAAGATTGTCGTTCCAAGCCAGCCACAGCAGACAAATCCATAAGATCTCCAACGAACCAGCAAAAACTGAGAAGTGGAGGAATGACTCAAGTGGTAGAGCACCAGTACTCCATGGAAAAAGCCAAGCAAGAGCAGACTACCCTTAGTTTAAGCCTCAGTACCAGCATAAAAAAAATTGAAAATAGAAAAATAAATAAATAAAATGAAACCTGTTGAAACAGTTTTTAAGAAGGTGGGAAAGTAATAGTGGAGGTGAATCTTTTTTTTGGGGGGGGGGGGAGGAGTCCAGTCGTGGGGCCTGAACTCTGGGCCTGGGCGCTGTCCCTCAGCTCTTCAGCTCAAGGCTAGCGCTCTACCATTTGAGCCACAGTGCCACTTCCGGCTTTTTTCTTTTTGCTTATGTGGTGCTGAGGAATTGAACCCAGGGCCTCTGGCATGCAAGGCAAGTGCTCTACCACTGAGCCACCTTCCCATCC